GGACAAAGCAGGAAAGCTGCGAATACTTCAAATGGCAATCGATTTGAGCGCAACTATGCACCTTCCACGCACCCTCGATGGCACCAGCAGTGGCAAAAGTCCAGCAGGCACCGCAGTGGCCCTGATTTTGGACCTGACTGCAGCGCCGATTTGAACAAACGCTTCACTTGCGAACTTGCGGACAACAAGCCATAACTAAGGCTGGAGTCTCTGCTTACTCTGAAGTGGAATGACATGGATGCAGGAACGTCAGTGACACAAGCGTCGCTGACTGAAGAGTGGTTTTCACACATTGGGAAGAGGCCGCACTTTCGCTATCAGTGTTCCATGCCGCCGCTTGAGCTTCGCGCAACTGACACTGCACCAGAACCTGAGATGCGGACAACCACGATAGGTGTGCTGCGTCAGGCTTAAAACTGTATTCATTGGGGAGAACATCCATGTTTTCAGCATTCCAAGTAGCCGTGACCCCTCATGGCCTAACAGAGAGCGAGGCCGCCAAGGCACGGCGCCAGTCTACGGAGTCCGGGGGCCCGCCCAAAGTGCCCCGCAGGAGAGGCGCCTCCTCAGGCAAGCCTTCGGGCAATGTATTGCCTTTTAAGCTCCCAGAATTTTGTCAAACTGTCGACTATTCATTGGGTCTCCCAATCTGGAAGTATCATTCCACAATTTGCCTACCCAGCGTGGCACTTGCCTGCATACGGACAGGCCCTGCCTCCCCAGATCGCGGAGAGGTTCCGAGACTCTGGTGGCAAACCTGGCAAACAGGCGCCGCACTGGGCAGTTGGCCAAGCACTGAGGAAGCTGATCATCCAAATGTCAGGGTCCGAGGCCTCTCGTGACGACTCGTGACAAGTGCGTCACATTAAACGTTCGTTGCAAAGACTGATTGGCACGCCGCGCCAAAAGCGCCAATCGCCGCATGGCGCGACCGAAGCTGGAGCGGAACTCCTCTGTCGTCATATCTGCAAAAGGGGTGACGCCCACTGTGTAGTTGTGGCCCTCACCTTAGACATGATTTGTCGAATACCCGCCAGGTAGGTACCACCACCTAGCCTCTTAGTTGCTTCTCCCCATTTTCTCGGGTACTCTAGTTAAGCACTTCTAAGAGCCGTACAAAAGAGGGTACGAGTCTAGGGGAGGTTTGTCTTCAATCTCTTAGTCAACTTCAGACTGAAAGGAAGAGGATCAAATCAAGATAAATCTTGGAAATTGCATCTGCATGCCCCTTTCTTTCCATATCTGCTTTAAATCACGAGTTGAGATGCTGTTTCTCTGCTTGATGAACTCTAGGTTCTGACAGAAGATTGCTGCTCGTCTTTCCTGGCATGCATGCTGCAGCACAATCTGAATCTCGCATGACTCGGTCAAGAATGTGATGTGTCTGCAAGGATTGTTGCTGCAGTATCCGTCCTTCTCCTCCAAAGAGTCATACTTCTTGCCGAATTTCCGGATGAACTCTTCAAATTCCTCTGCACAAGACCTGCCATGTCACTGTTGCTTGTCGTCCAATACAAGCACCGAAACTTGTTTGCACTGTTCAAACATCTGGGCTGGATCAACTTCCAACACATGGAGCAGTGCTCTGTCTTGGAATTCTTGCCTCTGGTCATCAGCCACTACACGAAGGCTGGGGCTTGAGGTTGTGAGCGTTGATGGGTCCTGCCCAATAACAAAGGCCAAACAAATCAAGCCTCTTACAGGCTGCAAACAAGCCGCTTGGCTAAGGTCTGGCCCCAGGCTTGCTCCGACGTGTCAGCAAGTTTGACACCCTCCACACTGTGACATCTTGAATACGCTCCAGACTTCTGATGTGCTTTGCATTTGTGCAGAAGGTGTTGATTTGAGTCCAGGGTTCTTCCAGGTTTTTTCGTTTCAGAACATGCTACCCAGCTACGCTCAAAGTTGTTGCACGTAGCACTATCAGTGGAAGTGCGCTAAGGATCTGGGGGGAATGGCAAGGACAACTGTGTGCTTCTGATCCTCTGCATGCGCAAACCAAATCTACACTACCGGTTGATAGGGCAACAAACAAACAAACAAACAAACAAAAATCAGGTCTTGTTCCAATACTGATTGAATATTCGCAGTACACTGTGGCTCTTGCAAAGAGCCACCTGGAAACACAACCATCTGAAAACAAAATGAATCTAGTAAGTCACAAGCCATCAGCAGCTCCTCGGCCGCACAAAGCGCCAGAACCTGCCACGGGGCATAAAGGACCATGTAAAGTCCGTCCCGGCCCTTCTCTCTGCAAGCCTTTGAGCCATCTGTCAAATCAAGCGAAACACTCAAAGCCGGTCAAATCCAAACCGATCAGACCGATGAAATCTAGCAACTGTATTGGTTTCAGTCGCCTCCAAAAAAGGTGGTGGTGGTCGACGCGGTACAGGAAATGGGAGATTGATATGGCTAATTGCAGAGTAGGTGACATCAACAAATACTTCTTGTTGGAGATCAAAAACTAATTGGGCAGGAACCCCACAAAAACCTAAATAATTGCGAGATGTGCGCTGGGAAATTTGTGCGAATGCACAATGGGCTTCAAGTGCTGAATCCAAAGCTCAAGCAACAATATTGAAATGACATAAGTATCCGAACTCATCACGTTGTCTACTGACATGGGAATTCTGTCACATTTACCAGTGGCAAATTTGTGCGCGCGTGTGTGTGTGTGTTTACTCAGTATATCACTCAAATCACGCTTCTGCTGCCACTAGCCTGTCTCCTTCGATCTTCATTGCGGAAATGGCAATGCTCGTGTGAATGCGAAACACCCGAACTGGATGCTGGATTTGAGGAAGGTGTGTCTGCTTCTTGCCCATCATCCGGGCCTCATTTGCATAGAGGCATTGTTCGCATGATTTCGATATGGGTGTGTATTTTTGTTGATGGAGCCCTTTCTGGGGTGACTTTCCATGGGAACAAAAGGAAAACAACCAATTTCGGAGGGTCCCTATGCTGTGACAAACCGATAAATTCGACACATAATCATGATGTCTCTCCAACTTTGGCGGTAGCACCCCAGCCACAGCGCGTCGCATCATGCTCTGGCGATCTGGCTAGATCTGAGCCAAATGCATCATATCCGAGCCAAGCATGGCCTTGTTGCAGCTATGCAAACATGGAGCGACAAGCTGCGGCCGGAAAAGCTGCGTTTTATGTCCGCTCCGAAAACTCGATGGACTCGGGCAGCCAGTATGCCGGATAGATGCGTCGAGATAGGCAACGGATCAAGCTGGCTGCGCACAAAGCCACGTGTAGGTTGCTAAGAAATACGAAATCAGGGTGGGAACATGCGCTCGACCTTGTGGAATGCCATTGCCGGGTTGTCCTCAGCCCACCCTGATGTTGTGAAAACTCTTGGCGTCACAAGCGACTTGCTGCCTCTGGCAAATCACTTCAAACGCTCATCCTTGAATGTGCTTTGAGAACCAGAAATCAGCATTGATGCATGAAACTCAAATACAGCTTGTCTCCTCAGTATGGATCTAGCGCTTCACATCAAGGCTGAGAACGCGACGGAAAACAGTTGGCACTGTTGCTATTTTTTCGCGGGCCTACGCCCAAATTACGGCTCAGCTGAGTGCAAGAGGCTCGCTTCTGGTCCAACATGAGTCCGACAGTGGCTTGCTGAAAAGAACTCAAGTCATGACGCATGTCTCATCCTCTCAACTCTGGAGGAAGCAACGAGAAGTTGTCCTTTGGCGTGTTCATGAAGTTCGCGTAGAAATACAGCCCCTTGGTCTAGTCAGACCGTAGCCAAAAGATTGGTGAATCTCAGGCACTGGCCCCAGCAACGAGACTCCAGGCAGCCAACGGCGCCAAGAAGATCACAGGGTTGTCTTCCTCATGTCCAGCTCTGCGCTTAGTGACTTGGGCGCTTGGCCAAATTGACGGCGTTTAGACCAAGGCTCGTAGACCTCTTTCTTGTCGTCTGGCACATATGTGCCCGGCTGGTACTTGTTCCTCTCAGCACCTCAGCGGACTGCAGTTGGCGCACCGAAAAGCGCCACACAGATTCGCAAGAACACATAAGAACACTGGGATCTCAACTCTCTTGCATCTCCTGCCAGGGGCAGCTTGGTGAGCCGGAGGACCCGAGCACCCCACCCCAAGGACACGAGTTGGCATGACCGCCGCTCCTTGACCTGCGCCGCCTCCTTCATCATTTCCTTCTCGCGGACTTCCTGGAGGGTAAGCCTCTTCTTGCCTGAAGCAACGGTCAACCCGTTGCACAAACCAACTATTCGTTGCCCGGTTATGAAGCCACTAAGCAAAAGAGCACCCGGAAGTCTGTCTTGTGTGAACGTGGAACTCGCACATGAAAGACTTCCCAAAGCAGAGGCATCAACGTCACAATATATCACATGTCCACTGTGCTGGAAAAGAGTCAGCGAAATACTGACAATGCGTATGCTCCCCCTGCTAGAGGCCTTCTGCGCGTAGCGCCACCTTCGTGCTGCTTTCCTAGGCATAGCTGAATCTCTGCACAAGCTTCCCAAGGTGTGACAGCTTGCTCGCCTTTGTCCTTTCTGCTGGGCCGTCCCCGAGTCCCTTCGCAGCAATGAAGGGCAAAGCCACCCCAAAGGTGGGGATAATACCTTCGTCGACGCAGCCTTTGCCTTGTTGCCACAGAGCTGCGCTTGTCTGCGCAAACCACAGCCAGGCGACACGAGGTGGCCTGTTGACATGTTCCCCCCACATGCGTTCCAAAGTGAAAGATCCCGCTGAAATGAACTTGGGCATGGGACACTCCTCTAAGCCTGTTGGCAAAGCACAATGAATCCAACATGATGGATTTTCAGCATGTGTTGCCCGTGTTTTTTACATGGCGCAGTCAGTGAGCGAATTTAACGAGGCTCGACCGCCTACCAAATAGAATACCCAGCACAATTGCATGGCTACTCATTGCTTTGAATTGCATCGTGTTTGACATTGTAGTGCATTGCGTGCTGAATTGCATTGCAGATTGTTGTATTGTACTGTATTGCGGTATTGCACTGTGTTGCGGTAGCTATTGTTGCTGCTAGTGCTCTCTTCAGGCTTAGACAGTACTCTAACGCTGGAGAACCCGGACACATCTTACCGGAACGATTCAGACTATGAATGGAATGTACATCAGGCTCACCTATGAACTCTGTCCTTGCTTTGAAGGCCCGCGCCGTTCCCCAGACTCAGCCCCCCGCCAGACTTAGTCGCAGAAAGTCCCAACCACCGAGCTCAGCCAAACCGCAATCCCCATATTCTCTGCTACCCCCAGCCCGAGCTAGTTTCACGGCCAAGCGTACACTTTTGGCCCGGCTCACAGCTGGAAGCTGGTGAGCTGGGCCAAGGCTTTGTGAACTGGGTGTTTGCTCAAGCCCGTTTTGCTCTGGCTCTTTTGAGCCTGGCCAAGGCGGGTGCACGTTTACAATTAGTGGGTCGTGCTAACGGCATCAAAAGGTTCGCGTGAATACCACATACCCCCCTGGCCCAATGGCCCAAGGCTCAGCGCGGAAGGCAGGCACGAAGGCAGCTCCCGCCAGTGCGGCCACAAGTAGGGCCTTGCAGCTCTGAAACAAAATGCGGCTCGCTCCTGAAGACATTCTGTTCTAGCCAACTGCTCAGGTCGTCAAGCCGTCAAAGCCCTACAGTAAACCATGCAAGCAGTCTTCCAGCCAATTTGCTGGCTGCCTCGCGAATTGTTGGAGGCTGTTTTACTCTGGCGGCTGGCTGTCGGTCTACTTACCATGCAATCCGGGCCGAGCAGACTGCTATTAAGAAGGGCACCTAAAGGACCTAAATGTTCGAATCTTACATCGCTTCTCAATGCGCTGGAGCAGCCAGTAACACCTGCGTACTTGTGGACTCCAGCCAGGACCTGTGTCGCGTTCCTGTGCCCTGGATGACAGATTGCCAGGCATGATACTGGCAGGTGCGCTGCGCGTCCGGAACTGGAGGCAAATACGTTTTCACCAAGCGGCAGTAACGAGGGAGCTGGTCCGACGAGGCCTTGTCACAGGAATACTAAGTTCCACTTTGTCAGACAACCATTGAAGCAACCAAATCTGTCATATGATAGTTTGCAGCTGTGCAGACGAACATATGCCGGCAGTCAGACCTGCCCTGCCTCGCCATACCGAAATACCTGTACAGGCCTCAGCCCAAGTGGAGCTACGAATTGCAACAAGCTCAGGAGACTCCACAGGATGAAGGTTAGCCGTTTAGCGACCTGCGTCCCTGGTTCACGTGTGGCCTGTTCACAAAATCACGAACACGCCAGCTAAAACAGGGATCTGTCTTTGCGATGGAAACAAGCATCTGAAAGCGCAAAGACTGTGGTGGTGTGCAGGTGGTCACAGTTGACACCGGATTTGGAGCTGAGGCCTGAGCCGGTCAGAACCGCTTGTGGCCGGGGCGATGCTTTCCTTTCACTTTCTGGAGCCAAAGGCAACGTGCTGCTCATTCCGCAAGGTGCTCCCGCGAATTCTGGCCAAGGCCTGCATAGCAAAGGACGTCGCCAGGAAGCTGCTGTGAAAAACTCACTGAATGCACGGCACACTTTCCAGGCATTACACACCCTCAAGGAATGCAGAAGCCGCCAGTGCCCCAGGTCTGGGTTGGGCCCCAACTCAGACCTGCAATTGAAACCAAGTATATCGTCGTGGCGGGCAAGCACAAACGATCCTGGCCTTCGCAGGATCGCTTGATATCTCCCAAACTCTGTGTCAGTGGGGGGCAAAACAAGGAAGCAATCGGTTTAAAGCTCCAGAATGGCCCCCAAATGGGACAAATTATCCCAAGCACCCCAAGGCATGGATAGCCTCAGGATGATACAGGGCATGCATGTTCAAGTCAAGAGTGCAGGTCATGCAGAGAACTTCAGTAGATGTTCTCGCGGAGGCAAAGCACTCCAATCTCGCCAAGCGCAGCTGTGGCATTCTTCAAGGAGTTCACCACGACCGTAAGACGCGCTTGCATGTCCAGGATCACCGAGTCTTTGGGTTGAGTATCCTCTTGTTGGCTTGCCATGGCCTCGTTGACCTGGCTTCAAGCGCCCAAGCAAGCACGAAGCACGAAGCTTCCCCGAACCCACTGCCTCTGTGTAGAAATCATGCACTCCGTCCAGTTCCAGCAGGCCCCCCAACTTGCTGAGCTTGGCGAAGGACTCCTGCGCTAGTTCTATGCAGCGGTCATCGTCTCACATACACTTGTTTGAGACGGACTCATTCACGTCAACCTTGCTGATACACATGCAGCCAATCCAACGCAGTGCAATCTCACAAATACACACACAAATGTTGTGCTGATCCCCGCGTAAACTTCCCTTGCCTTCACCTCCTCCAAGGCTTCCTCCTTGTCCTGTAGTTTGAGCATCACATCTCAATCTCTCTCTCTCTCTCGATTTTTCTCTCTCCCTCTCCCTCTCCCTCCCTCCCTCTCCCCCTTTATTTTTTCTCTCTCTCTCTCTCTTTCTCTCTCTCTCTCTCTGTCTCTCTCTCTCTCTCTCTGGCTCTCTCTCTCTCTCTCTCTCTCTCTCTCTCTCGCTCTCTCTCGTAATCTCTCTCTCTCTCTCTCATTCTCTCTGTCTCTTGATGTCATTGCTATCCGGCTTGCTTGCCGACTTCGTGCACCAGGCAGCACCTGGTGCCCTTCTCACTTCTTTCACGGACGGCATTAAGGGTCTCCAGCCCAAGGCGGTTATCCAGGTGGCGTTGCAAGGCAATGAAATGCAATGATATGCAATGAATTGCGATGAAATGTCGTGCGATGCAATGTAGTGTAAGGTGAGGATGTGCCGTAATTTGGAATGTAATGTCATGCAAGGTTTTGTAGTGTAACGCGATACGATGCGATGCGGTGCGTTGCGATGCCATGCATGCATGGATGTGTGTGTGTGTGTGCGTGTGCCTGTGTGTACGTACGTCTATGTAAGTGGTCTCTCTGTATGTAAGTGCTCTCTATGTATGTATGTATGTATGTATGTACGTATGTACGTATGTATACGTATGTACGTATGTACGTATGTACGTATGTACGTATACGTATGTACGTATGTGTGTATGTATGTACGTACGTATGTATGTGCATGCTATGTGTATATGTGTGTATGTGTATGTGTGTATGTATGTATGTATGTATGTATGTATGTATGTATGTATGTATGTATGTATGTATGTATGTATGTATGTATGTATGTATGTATGTATGTATGTATGTATGTATGTATGTATGTATGTATGTGTATGTATGTATGTATGTATGTATGTATGTATGTATGTATGTATGTATGTATGTATGTATGTATGTATGTATGTATGTATGTATGTGTATGTATGTATGTATGTATGTATGTATGTATGTATGTATGTATGTATGTATGTATGTATGTATGTATGTATGTATGTATGTATGTATGTATGTATGTATGTATGTATGTATGTATGTATGTATGTATGTATGTATGTATGTATGTATGTATGTATGTATGTATGTATGTATGTATGTATGTATGTATGTATGTATGTATGTATGTATGTATGTATGTATGTATGTATGTATGTATGTATGTATGTATGTATGTATGTATGTATGTAATGTATGTATGTATGTATGTATGTATGTATGTATGTATGTATGTATGTATGTATGTATGTATGTATGTATGTATGTATGTATGTATGTGTATGTATGTATGTATGTATGTATGTATGTATGTATGTATGTATGTATGTATGTATGTATGTATGTATGTATGTATGTATGTATGTATGTATGTATGTATGTATGTATGTATGTATGTAGTGCATGCATGCATGCATGCAGGTATGTATGTGTATGCATGCAAGTAGGCAGGTACTGCATGCATGCAGGCAGGTAGGTAGGCAAGCAGGCATGTAGGCACACCAAAACGAATGCATGCACATAGGTACTTGTGCACTCAGCTACGTCATTACGTACGAAACCACGCAGGTATGTGCGAACAGGTGTATATGCACGGATCATATGTATTGTCGTACGCATGTATACACAACCGCACATGTATGCACAAATGCCAAATTGTTGTTCTCTCTGCTCTTGGAGGTGCGAGCAGAATATGTGCTTGGCTTTGGGTTAACCTAGCTCTCGTGGCAGTAGTTGGGAAGCGTGTAACATCCCGACGCTTTGCTGCAGCTGCAGCGACATGTGAAGGAAGTCTCCAGCAATGGGCTTGCAAGTAAGCAAAAAGGTGCACCGGCTTCAGAACTCGGGGTTCCGAGGACCTATGGTGTTGCAAGTCTGAGATGCCAGGCTGGACGTGGACAGTGAACGGCTGGCAGTCCCATCGGCGTCACAGCTCGCTTAGGCATCCGAGTCTCGCCCTGACTCACCGAGAGACCGTATAAAGTCCTTCGGATGGAGTTGCGACCGAGTGCTGATTGTCGGGCTCGTATCTGAGCTTGACAGTTTGTCTCAGTCATCCGGCCAAACCTCTTGCGACAAGATGAGGCTTGGGAAAGAACCTTTCAGTTCTTGCGGAGTGCTCTGCGATCTGTATCAAGAGACCGTTGGAGACCGTTGGATGGATCGGAACCCTGGAGAACCCGTGGAGGCTTGCTACTCACTTGGGACTCGCTTCCCATTTCACCCTGTGTCTCCTCCCAACGAGTGCTGCTTGGACGGAGTTGGGCTGAGGTGACAAGAGACGGTTCCAACCTTTTCTTGCAAAGCGGCTCCCCAGACAAGAAGCATGAAAAAGGTGCTGGGTTGTGGACTTCCGATAGGTGAAGGCGAGGGTGAAGCAGCACACTCCAGCGGCAGCTGCGGGTTTGGCATGATCGTTTCGTGGAGTGGAAAGTTCCTTCCCGTGGACAATTGGAGTGGGGATCGGGTCTGGGGCCCTCTGGAGAATTTTGAGAACTTGCAACTTGGTCGCTAAAACAGGCGGCAGTATCCTCGAGTTTCATCCCCACGCACGGCAAAGCCCAATCCTGGGTCGCAGGAGAGATCGTGCCTCGAGTGCAAGGAGCCCACAACTTTCGATCGGGGTGATTGGGGTCGGAGGCTATTCCTTGCAATTGCTTGCAGGAGCTTGGCCACCGGTGATCAGGCAAGCGACTCGACGAGATCGTGAAGCTGCTGATCGGCGTGGTCCGCAGAGGGCGGACAAAGCCAATGCATCAGGGAGCAGAGTTGCGCCTTGCATTGCAGGAGCCTGTGCATGAGGCGCGAGAGGAGATCAACCGAAAGTTGTCGCTCCCTGGGTGTGGCTGTCGAGCGGCACCCGCACGCGGAGATGCCGCTTTGGACCCTGCCGACGAAGAAATTGACAGGATCAGCGAATTTAGAAGGTTGGGATCGTGGAGAGGATGAGGAGCTTCAGACTGGCTCACGGCCCGGAAGAGTGTTCTCCCACGATTGGCGTATCTGTGAGGGATGGACTAGTAAGTTCAGTGCGGCCGCGGCTGCCATGGTTCGCACGGAATCACGAATAGCTTCTGTTAGGGGGTGTAGTAGGCAGGGGGCACTTTTCAGAATAGAAGCGGCCGCCGTGCCCAGCAAGAGTGCAGCAGCCGGCGAGCAGGTGCCAAGCAGGTGCACGAGTGACGCGTGTTTTGGGCTGGATTCTTGGATACACCTAGTCCCTCTGTGCACGCGCGTTTGTACACGTCTTTACGTACAAAGGTCCAGTGTTCATTTAGATTCACTCGGTATAACCACGCAAGTCTGTGTGTGCTTTTGCCTGGAATTATGCGCGCAGCACAAGCGCATGATTTCTGCAAACTCCACACAAGCTAGGATTCAAGCAAGTCATGTTTCTCTCCTGCTTCAGCAGCGCAATGACCAGCTCGAACGTAGTGTTGCAGGTTTGAAGCAGATCGTCCTTCCTGACAATGCTCAACATCGCTCCATGCTCGTTCCTTGTAAACCCTTTCTCATGACACAAAAACACTGGGATGGCTGTTTGCTGGCCCCACCCAGGACTCCCCGAGCAGTCGAATTACAGCTGGAGGGCATCATGGATGGATTGACCATGTCCCCAGCCGAGCTGCATCTTCAAGAAGCTGCTGTGCCGGTTCATGATGCTGTGCACTTCCTCGTAGGCCAAATTCGTGGCCCTGGGCGAAGGAAAACTTGCATTGGTCAGGAGTCAAGGTGGTATGACATCAAGAAAAATGATGCCGACTGCCTACACATCTGAGAACCTGCATTATGGCTGTTCCTTTCAAGCTCCAGTCAAGAGCTCCACATGCATCCGGTACCCCCAAAAAAAAAAAAAAACGCCCCGAGAAATGTTGACAGTAGTTGCAGTAGTTTTGGGTAAATTCCACCCCCTTTCAGGCACCCTAATGTTGACCCCAATTTTGACCATCTGACTATGCCTGCATCTGCACATTTGACTACACCTGTAGCCACCTAAAACGCTTTAAAACGCTTTAGACCGTTATGAAGCACTTTTGCATTAAAGATTGAATCCAGCCTGTTTTGGATTCAAGATTCAAAATTCAAGATTTGCAGGACTATATGTCTGTAACCTTGAATCCAGCCTGGGGCCCGTAGAACGCTTTAAAGCGCTTTAAAGCACTTTGGGATTCAAGATTCAACATTCAAAATTCCAGGACTATACATCTGGAATCTGGAATCCAGACCGGGCCCCCTAAAACGCTTTAAACCGTTTTCATTCTCGTGGGAAAAACATTGGGGCCCCCATCCCTTAATATCTCTTGTTCTTGAATCTTTACTTGATTCAAGATTCAAGATCCAGAGTGATGAGAATCTTGAATCCTGAATGTTGGATCCGAAAGCGCGTTAAAGCGCCGAAAAGCGTCTACTGTCAGTGGTTCCTGATTGGTTGTACACCTTATCATGTTGGAATTGTGTGCGGTAAATGCAGTTGATAGTTCAGCATATGGACATTGGACAATCAGATTCTGAGAAAATGGTTTAAAGATATCCACGCCAACCCTTGGATATTAAAAACAAACATACTGTAAATACCAGTGTGTTGCATGCGTCTTAGTAAGTTTTGTGTACCACTGTTTTCGTTCGGGGAAAATAGTTGTGTTAGCAAACGGCCTGGCATTGGTCAAGGCGTGATATCAGATGTGAGCAGATGTTCTCTGATTAGGCAGCATTGGTGATGCAGAGGATGCTACGAGAATAGTTATCTTGATAGTCGTCATCTGCTGCCAAAGGAGTCGCTGGGGATGATGTTCGATCATGCTCATCATCATTTCTTATTGGGCTGCATTGGTGATGCAGAGGATGCTACGATGATAACGTTATCATTACAGTCATCATCATCATCCTTATCATCATCATGATGATGGTCATCATCATCATCATCATCATCACCCTTCTCATCATCATCATGATGGTCATTATCATCTCTTTCTTGTTCTTATACACATTGCAAGTGTGGCGTTAGGTAGCATTGGTGATGCGCAGGATGCAGTTATCATCGCAGTCATCATCCTTATCGTCGCAGTCATCATCCTTATCATCATAGTCATCATCCTAATCCTCATCATCTCTTATGAGGCAGCATTGGGAATGCAGAGGATGCTATGATGATAGTTATCAGCACAGTCATCATCCTTATCATCGTAGTCATTATCCTTCTCATCATCGTCATGGTCATCATCGTGAGGAAGCATTGGGGGTGCAGATGATGCTACGATGATAGTTATCATGACAATCATCATCCTTATCATCATCCTGGTCGTCAACATCATCACCCTGATCAACATCATTGTGGTCATCATCAACCTTCTTGTTTCTTTCTTCTTATGAGATGCGGAGGATGCTTCATCCTCAACATCATTGTAGTCACTATCCTCATCATCTCTTATGAGGCAGCATTGGTAACGCAGATGGTGCTACGATGATAGTTATCATCACAGACATCATCCTTATCATCATCAGTCATCATCCTTATCATCATCATCTCTTCTGAGGCAGCATTGCTAGGCAGCATTGGTAACGCAGAGGATGATGACTGTGATGCATCATCATAGTCATTATCCTTATCATCCTCATCTCTTATGATGCAGCATTGGTAACGCAGACGATGCTACGATGATAGTTGTTAGGAAGGTCATCATCATTATCATCATCCTCGTCGTCATCATCATCACCCTGATCATCATCATTGTGGTCATCATCATCCTTTTCCTTTTCTTGTTTCTTTCTTCTTATTAGATGCAGAGGATGCTACGATGATAGTTATCTTCACAGTCTTCATCCTTAACATCATTGTACTCATCATCTCTTATGAGGCAGCATTGGCAATGCAGGACCGAAAAGAAATTGTTGGAAATTATGGGCAACAAAGAGAAACTGAAGAGAAGTGAAGGGATGTGCAGGAAACTGACGTTAAATGGGAAGCGAGGCTGACGTCACGGGAACTAAAAAGAACTAAGGGAAAGGAATGCGAATGCAGGGGCGCTCAAGGAAATGAAGGGAGCTGACACGGACATGAAGCGAAAGGAAGTGAAGGGAAATGCCAGGAAACTGTCGGACATGCAGGGAAGACACGCAAAGGAAGCGAAGTTCAAATCCCGGGAACTTAATAAAGGGCAAGGTGCCCGGTGGCCGGCTGTGTCGCGTCAGCGTGTAAATCCGGCTACGCCTCCTGGGGTAGGCAATTAGCCTGCTAGCTTTAGCTATAGGGGCTGCATTTTGGCGTCGTCACTTGGTCGTGACACGTTGCCTAAATCCGGCACCTCTGCATCACCAGCTCGGGCTTGCGGTTTTGCTTGCCTGTGGGAAACCCTCGCAAAATATCGCGTATATGCAGGGTTTAGGCCAAGTGGCTGACATCATCAGGGTCTGGGGTTGGGCCTGGGTGATGCTTCAGCGGGGCTTGGTCTGCATCATCAAGATTTCCTTCCCAAAAAGCCCCTCAACCCATGAAGCACTGATTTTTAGAAGGTATCGCCGAGCGCTGCCGGGCACGCCGGCGATGCTGGGTCCTCGCTCTACAAAACGCTGTAAAAACCGTCAAAAACTGCTGTGCTGAGCGGCGGGCTGTTGTTCTGTCCGTTTTGTTTTGCTCCCGTCGGTTGGCGCGCGCGCTCGCGACCCCAGCCACAAAACGCTGCTATGTACGGTGTTTTGTTGCATTTGCGTTTCCGGGCTGGCTTGCGGGCTGCTCTTTTTGGGCTGCTCTTTCTGTGGCCTCTGGCGCGCGCGCGCGCGACCCCATGTCAGCCTTCTGGGTTGCCCGGCTGGGGCCCAGAAATTCGCATCATCCAGGGTTTTGGTGGGCAAAATGCATAACCTAACCAGCCATATCATAGCACAGGATACGTTTCTCATACAAAAAACATGACATGACATGGTATAACTTCAAAGAGGCGTAGCAGGCTAGAGGCCGCAGGCCCAGAAAATATAAAGGAGGAAAGCCACATGTTTCAGAAAGTAGAAGCAAATACGATTCAAATGGGTGGCAACGGCAAAATGAAGCATCTGCGCAAGTCTGCCAACGTTGTGAAATGAGCCCACTTCTGGGAACATCCATTTAACATGACCTGACTTTCTTTTCATAAGCAGCAGGCGCGGGCTTTGGGGGGGGGTTGCATCCATGCCTGTCCACCGGATCATTCCCATCCACACCCTTTGCAAAATGCGCTCTATGCGAGTGGCTTATCGTGGATCAGGTGCTTCTCTCCCTCATGTTTTGCCAGATCTTGTCGAATGGTGGACGTCTCCTGGGGCAAGAAATTGACAATGAACACCCCAACTGACAAGAAGCACAAATAAGAATGATCACCACAGGCTGACTCACACGCAATTGACAAAGGTAATTATTCATGATCAATGATTTGCCAAAGACGGGGAAATCAAATACGGTGGATGAACAATCATGAACATGTGTGCACATCTCTGCTGAAATGATTGTTTCTCCTTCTCTCATGACAGCTCTGCACTGTCCGTTTGCATGCTTGCCCTGACTTTCAACAGCTGAAAACATTTGAAGTAAACGTGAAGGGGCAACTGTCACCGGTCCTCAGGAATCTTTTCAGAGGCCCAGGTGCTTGCACCTGTGACCAAGACCTCGCAGTGAGGTCTTAACGCACTGCCACCTTCCCCTGGTTTCTGAGCCCGACAATCTACAGTAGTGTCCCTCACCAACAGTGCTGAGCATTTGCGATTCCGACACTGCACAAGTAGAGATCCTGGTTCCGATCGAACAGAGCAGGTGCTTACGGCCAGGGCACTCCCATTTCGGCAAGGGCAAGCTTCAGCTGAGCCAGAACGTCACCTAAAGCATAGCGCTCTTCTCGCTGCTCACCACTAGCCTTTGACACTGTCAATTCCCACAAACTGCCTGAAAGCCTGCGGAAACACCCTAGCATGGTCGAGCGTGCGATGAATGTTTCCAAACGATGCCAACTGAAGCACGGTTACAAGAACTCAATATCCGCACAAACACGTCAGAACCGTGTCGATGCCAACATGTCAACAAAGAGTTGGTAGCTTTCAAATCCTGCAAATGTTGGAATGGATCATTTGCGCACACGCAACAGCCTGCTTCCTCGAAGCACACAAACCTCGCCCGGGTGGCCGTAAAACTTGTGCTTGAAGGACAAGCGCAGGCCCGGTGCCACTTCGAGTGCCGGCGCAGTCTCCGAATGGTAGTTGTCGCAACTGGCCATGATGCTCCCTGCCTAAGGATTCCAGGCCGAAGGAAAAAAACCTTGTGTTTGCTCTGTAGGAGAGCTGCCTTCAAAGCAAGATGTTGCCAACATCCAAATCCCATTTGGTTGAAAGCATGGAACGGTTTAGATGTTTTACTGGAGGCAGAACTGAGCTGGAACGTTCAGGATTTGGGCAACATCGCCTGCTCGTGCTGCTTCTTCATCTCTTCATAATCACCATCGAAGAAATCTTCATACGCATCCTTGATCGTGTCCAGCAATTCCTGCCTCGGCTAGGACCAATCCATGCTTTAAGTGGACGTTCCAGGACCTGCACCCTCTCTTCGTTTCGCTTCCAATATGGGTTGTCCCATTTGTGCCAACCATTGCCACTCCGTACCTCCAGCCAAGTAGCAGCTGATCCACAGCCAAATCACGAGGCGCCTTGTCCAGAAGAATAGTCCTACAGCCGATGTTTGCTGGAAATGTGTTTGGTAGGCAGAGCTCCTCATCTGATTTGCATTGGCTTGGCTTGTCGAGATTGATTTAACAAGGAGATTCAGACAAAAGAACTGCAGTTAGGAGCCCTACGAATAGCCTCTAACTCAGACTGAGGGGCTCAATCAGCATGCGGATCAGCACAGCCACCGTGGTTTGCGCGATGACCTGGTAATTACCTTCAGTCAGCATCTGGTCTGAAAAATAATGAATGTCACGAAAGAGTATGCAATGGCAGCTCGTGGCATACAATAGCAGCTCAAAGCATACTGCAGCTGCACTGGAAATGTGCATCAATGTGACAAAAGAGCATGCAATGAGACTTCGTGGCACACTGCAGGATTCTGCAATGGCGCCCAATGCCATAAAGCATCTGCACTGAAGAAATGTATGCGACACCCCGAAACATCAATGACGCAGCCAGCTCTACAGTTGCATCCGCGCAGCTGCGCATGTTGTAGTGGAACTCACCGCCCGAGCTGCAGGAAACCATCAATGGATAAGCGCCAAAGCCACAAAGTGCACAGCCCACGAAGCTCCACGTCTTGGAGGAGTAGTAGACCTCTCAATTTTCAAGGCTGTTCAAGGCTGCGCTTTGCACATGCCTCATTGCAGCCCAGAATCGTAGGAAAAGGTGAAGAAGTACAGCCACACCAGACCCGACTGTAGGATGGTGCGGGTCATCGAGCTGCAATCAAAGATGAACACTATCGCCAGCACGAGAAGTGGAAGAACGTTACCCAGAACCTTCGCATCGCATGCTTGCACTTTCTGGAACTCTTTTGAAGCGCCAAATGGAAACTAGTGAGTGAGATGTCTTTGCAGGTGAGACGTTATCAAAACGTTGCCAAGGCGCCAAGCCAATGAGACGGTCAATGTTTCCTCAGCTATCGCACGGGCGGATTCGCAGGCCATGCCCATGTATCAGGCGTCCACAGTCACACCCTGATTTTGCAAATGCCTGGGTCATAGCTCCATGTGAGCGCGTGAACAAGCCAAACACAACGGAAATGGCTGGATCTTCGAAGGGACAATACCTGGACTGGATCTGAAGACAAGTGCCAGGTGTCCATGCAACTTCTCAAACATCGAAAGATCCTAGGGCTTTACGGCCTCGATCTCAGCTCTTTCTTCCCATTTAAAGGCTTGAACCGAACTTCTGCCCGGCGTCTAAGCTCTGCGGCGTGTGACTAAGCCATTGTGTTTGCCCGTTCATTTTGTTTGCCCTTTCTCAGCCATGAGAAGAAAGGAGCCCAAAGTAAACGCTCTGGATTGAACCAAGCACTGGCAACATAGACGTCTTAAACTTCAATGGCTGGCAAAAAATGTAGAATGAGTTTAGCATTTTGGGTGTGCCACCCATTCAATTTAATCCACCCAAAGGTTTTCCTGTGAGAAGCGATCAACCCGATTGCAGCTGTGCGGCCCTTGAAGGTGGAACCATAGGAGGAGGTGATAATCAGCGCCAGGGTGGAAGGCATCAGCGCTGCATGGGGCACGAAGAGTGAGCTATCTTGAGCGAAGTAAGCCTTGGGCCATGCAAGCAACCTGAAGCAACCTTGCTTCAAGAATGTATGCCCTGAATGCTGCCCGAAAAATCGGGGTTTCCTTAGAGCCGTTGAAATTTACCGAACCCCGCGAGCACAAAAAGCTGCAGCTGAATCTTACATCGGCTTCGAGCTGCAATGGCAAAGGTCGACATGACGGGCAGAAAGTTCACCACGGCAAACTTGAGATTTTCCGACGAGGTCATCCTGGGCCAAGCGCTGTGTCAAGAGCACATGTTCCCTCAGAGAGAACCGTAGGACATTGCAAACGAGAATATCCGCCAAAGACGAGCTTGTGCTTGGGCCACGAATCGTTGCTTCTCTGCGCCATTGTAGCGACGCAGTGGAGCTCTTTATTGCTTGACGCATTTGCAATAAGGACATGTCACATTGTGAAACGATCCAAACCAAGCCACACGTCCAGGGAGAACAAGTCACCGATCCTTAGTCAGCTGATTCTCCGACAAACATGTGCAGGCGAAATGGATCAACCACTTGTTTGCCGCAGAAAATAATAGTGCACCAAGGTGAGAGGCGATGTTTTGCGGGCCTTGAAAGGAACCAACAAATCATGCATCTGAAGGCCCTCTGAAAGATAGAACCTGTTTGCCTGAAGCTAGTTAATTTGAAGCATGGCATTGTCAGAAAATGGATTCCCAAGCGTCGTGGAGCACATGCTCTTGAAGAAGCTGACCACGGTATTCTTCTTCTTCTCATCAGCAAGAACAGGCAGGCCTCGCGCATTGCTCAGCTCAGGTCTCAAGCGCCGCACTTGGAAAAAGCGCGAAAAAGCTTATGCCTTCTGCAAAGTCCACAATGCTGCGCACGTAGGCGGCGAAGCCATAGATGAAGCAGTTCTCATTGGCCAAGTCCTGCAAAAAGTGAGTGGTTGTAGGGCCGAGATTGGAAACTTCTCAGCCAAAGACGCCAACACGCGGACCAAGCACCAACGAGTCTTTCACTCAATAAGCTGCACATGGCTGCGCTTACCCAGCCTGCTGGAATCAACAAAAAGTAGCTAGCAACAGTCAGCCCACACAAATCAAGTTATCCTGTTGATTCTCTCACTCGTGGGTCATTGCAGCATCAGTGCAAAGCGTGCCTGCCTCTGTCTCAAAAAGGCACCCCTAAAATGAATCCACCTGCAAACCAATGATGTGCCATTGGATTCCACATCTCAGGTGGCAAACTAAGGGTCTATCCTCGGAGACGAAGTGCTCAGCCTTCATTGTGTTCCTCAGCGCACCGACGAAGACGATACTACCGGATATGCAAAGACAAACTGCCCAAGGCCCCGGCCTGTAAGCCTTTGCCAAGTCCTTCTCACGGCCTTTCGTCTCAGCCACAAGGTCCTTCAGCTGCTCTCGCTCCTGGCGGCACCAAGGCAGCCGCGATCATTGTCACGCCATGTTCCATCATAGGCGTCCAATGTCATCATATAGGATTTCGCGGTCGACCCTTCAACTTCAACTGGGAAGGTGCTGAGACCATGTACAATGCGCGAAAAATGGCTGCGGCCAGGACACGGGAGAGTAGACGTTTCAGGCTCCCCAAATAGATGGAAGCAAGTGGATTCAAATAAGGCTTAGAGGCGAAGCCTACGTGAAAGAGAGCAGCAAACTAAGTACTTGAGCCTTGGTCAAGACTCCTTGGCTCAGACTGCAGGCAGAACAGCATTCACATGCATGCCTCTGGTGCCGTGAGACTGGCTGCGCAAACCTCGTTTTCTGACAATGTCTCCTGCTGGTCGATGGCGCCATCAGCACAGCACTTTACGCAATACCCGAACAGCTTAGCCACGCTCGCATTGAGCATGGTCAGCTCCTGCAGCTTGCAATCCAGCACAGCCAACCCGCATGTCTCACAAGTCTAATTTTGTGTTGTCTGCCGTCGCTCCATGACTGCACAGAATAAACTAATGCGTGTGTGCGTTTTGCTGGATACGCAATAACTCCTGCTTGATGCCGTCCACAAATTGGTTGTGGCGCCCATCAAACTGTTCGCGGACCAAAGCTGCCTTGGAAATCTGCACCAGCTTCTGGTTCTTGTGCCCCACCTGGCCGCTTCTGCTTGCCGCATGAGGGGCGCAGAGCCTGTCATGTTTTTTCTGACTTCTCACAAATGTCACAAATGTCACAGTGACCCACTGAACACCCATCCGACTCATGCTAGCCTGACAGAAGAGGCGGAAGAGCTCACGGGCAACGCCGAAGTGCCCCAAATCAAAGTGCTCAAACCAGGCACCGTTAATGCTCTCCTGGACGCAGACAGATTGAGGTCGTACAACAACCTCGTCGTCTTTCCCGAAAGCATCGCTTGCACACAGCCATCTGCGCAGAGCCACTTGGAGTCCCGTCATGGAGCTATGCGCACAAAGCTAACCTGCACAGAGCATCTTTCACAGAGGGACTTGCCCAGAGTCAGTTGATGTCAGTTGCGCAGAACCAACTTGCACAGAGCTACTTGCACGGAGCCATCTGCGCAGAGCAACTTGCACAGAACCATCTGCAGAGTTGAGTAGTTTGAGCATAGTCTCAGTGTAGTCTGCACACGCTAGTCCTTCCTGGGCATGAGGTGTGAATAGTGTGCGTACAAAGACAGTTTGGGTGTGTGTGTGTGTGTGTTTTTTGTGCCTTAGGACGAGTTCTTGGGTAGATAGCAAGCATAGAATAAACTTCCAAGATTCTTAACGCGCTTGCGAGAGCTCGGCAATAAGACTCTTCTATTTGGGCGGAGGCTGGTAGAGCTGTTGTCATCGCATGGGATTGTCGGCGCGGTCGATGTCGGAAAACTGAGGATTTCTCGACTTTAACATGCCCGCGACCCTCTGCGGGAATCGGCCTGGTCGATTAAAAAAAAAAACTGAGATTCTTTTCCAACCCTTTGTGGCGATCGTGCCTGTCGAAGCGCTCTCGCTGTGGTCCCGCGCGAATTTGGCTGCTTTTGCTGCTAGCGAGCTGGCCCTTGTGGAAGCTGTCTCGCCAAGATCGCAGCGTGTGAGTACAAAAGTACTACACGAAGCGCATTCCCGCAGCTCTGGCTGGGCAATCGCGACCTTTAAGTACATTACACCAGCATAGACCCTAGATAGCCAAAAACCGGCGGATGATTGAACACCAGAGCACCCCCGAAGAGCGCAGCAGCCGTCAATCTCGCAAAAATCCGCCCGCACCGTCACCAGTACCTCAAACAGCACGGCAAACAGCACCCAAAGCAGCACCTGCACCTCAAAATTCAACGACCCTAGCATTGTGCCGTCAATCTTGCAAAAATGCGCCCGCCGTTACCAGCACCTCAAACAGCGCTCCCCAAACGGCACACCCCAATAGCATCCACACCAGTACCCCAAACTGCACGACCCCCCAGCACCCAGCTGTCAATCTCGTAAATTACTTTCCCCTCTTTATTAGAAGTTAGAACCTCTACAGCTTTCAGCTATCTTGGGAAAAGGAGTATGCAAAGCGCATTCCCGCAGCTTTGGCTGGAAAAAAAGCAACTTTTCCACACAAAAGCCGTACACTAAGCGCATTCCTCGGAAAATCACAACTTGCACAAACTTGCGCGGAGCACTCGCGGAGAGCAACGTGCAGACTTTCGCAGAGCAACTTGCGCACAGCGGCGCAAAGACATCGGCGCAGGGACACTTGAATAGCGAAGCTAGCCTACAACGGGCGCTGAGCTATCAGCGCAGAGCAACCTGCATACGGCGCACACAGATTGGCTTCCCCGGCATCAGGAAACGCTAAGTCCTCGGTACGATCCAATGCTCCCTTGATCGCATCCATCTTGGAGGCAATCTGGTACCTGGGTACTACCACAGAGAAAACTCTCTGCCAAAAGCCCTCCATGCCCAAAAGCAAACTTTACAGATTGGTGACAGATTGAACATGTCAATGCAGCGAACAGGGCTCGAGTTGCTCGTCCGAATTCTTTACGAGAGTCTGGACGTTTCAACTCGGCAAGCTCTTTAGAGCAAGCCTCTTTCTCAAACTATATTATGACCTCATACCTTCCATGGATTTTGCACGAAACAATCTGTTGAAGGGCAGAGCCGCTGCTGCAATTGAACTCTGCCAGCGATACAACATGTTGACAAACGTTCTGATGTCAAAATTGCCTGCTGCACTGCAACCCTTTCGGGAAGGCGACTTATATAGCTGAGTTGGGCAGCCTTTTTTCTTGTTCGATGTGATAGCAGCTAGGCAGCACCTCTCAAAACATGCAAGTGCTCATGACAGGGAATCTTCCGATCTGTGACTTCTTGTGGCAAGCTGCCTTTTAGCCACTTTCTCAGTTCCAGTGAAGTAGTCAAGGGCATCGCTCCAAGCAGAGTGGAGGCCCTGAACAGCGATGGTCGAGTTGTCCACCAACGACCTCACAAAGCCAAGGTGGTGCCCCTTGCAAACTGCATTTCAAGCGGGAAGCCCACCTTGGTTCACACTAGAGGTCAAAGTGAGCACTCGGACTGCTCCCTCTGGCACAGTCTGAGGCCACTCACATTTGAACAGGCTATACACTGGGCACATGTTGGCCAGGCAAATCGCGAATGCTTCCTGATTTCTTGCGCGAGCAAATGTTCAGAACAGGTAATAGTGCGGCATATTACACAACAGGCTTACGACACATTTCTTTGAGAAAGTCCGTCAATTCTTGCAGGCACTGTACGTATTTGTTGTCTGTAGTATGCTAGAAGCGGCATGGGCCTTGCATACTCCGCTTGTCCTGGTCCGAGGGGCCTGGCGTTGAGCAGCGGGTTCGGGACGAGCGTTGCCAGGATTGCCAAGATGCCGCCCAAGAGGGAGGTGAGGTTCACGATGGTGGTGTTCGAATCCCACTTGAGGTCCAGAAAG